CATGTTTGGTCATTTGCGCCCCATTTGGTTATAATTTTGGTGACTCACATGTTCCTTTACGTGTATAGAAATGCCCTGAAGGAGCATAATCTGTCATGTTGGAATAATTGTAAATGTATGTCTAGATTTTTTGCCAATTGTATTGCTTTGACATTTATGTTATTTTGACTGTACAAGGGAGGTATTACAGAAGATTTGGCGATATCTACAACAGGGATCATTCAAACCACTGAGAGATGGAATGCAATAAGGATTTCAACACTAAGGATTGTAATAGTGCAGCTGATATCAATTGTGCTCCAGCCCCTTCTCATCCTAGCAAGACGTCATTTTGGACATGATGTAGTGCTTGCCAAATGAAGTTTGAATACTTAATCTGCTACTTAAACAAGCAACTTCGTTGCCGTAAACCCTATGTCACTGTTGAGATTCCACCTCCACCAATAGATGGAAATTGTTCATCTAATCCGAAGGGTTTTTCCAAAGCACAACCGTATCCCTCAACAAGCTTCTCTGGAATTCATTTGCCAGAAAAGCTCACTTCTTCATATGGCACATTAATCAAATTTTCAATTGATAAAGCTGCCCCTGCACCAGCATCATATTCTCCTCACTCAGGCGTGCTTGAGCCTGTAGTCCGGCATCGGAAGAGGGGCCATGAGGAGGCAACAGCTGCAGTCAGAGAGAAATGGTCTGAGAGGATTCAAATGTCTAAGAAAGCTAATAGTGGTTCAGTGGGCATGTCTTCTGATGTCAACTCCCTAGAAACTGAAGGGATTAAAAAAAGGCGGGTTGGTGAAGGTGGCATAAATAAGAAAGTCACAAAAGATGCTAGCCAAGTGACATTTGCAAATGGTAAAGCACTTGGCACAGGAAGTACGTCTGGATCCCGAAAGGGCCAACTGGAGGATAGGAGAAGGGTCAATTACAACGTGATTAATCAGATCAACGGTCTAAGGAAACAATCTCTGACAGAAACACGAAAGATGTTGATCGATAAAGCAAAGAAGAAAATTTTAAAGGAGCTTCATGAGTGTGGTGAGAAAGAACTTGCAGATGGACTAAATTCTTCACAAGGAAAGGTCAAGCAGAAGTACAACGAAGAGCAGAAACCTCCTGCAAATGGTTCAAAGACTGCTGCAGTTAAGCATAGGAAGCCTGTGGATGGTAAAGACGGAGTTCATATCAAAAAGACTTCCCATGCCATTTCTAACGTTGAATCTGAAGCAGAGAACTGTCTTCAGGCAAATGCTTGTTGCAGACCCAGATTTTCATGATTTCGACAACGATCGGACGGAAATTTCGTTTGCTGATAATCAAGTCTGGGCTACTTACGATGATGATGATGGGATGCCCCGTTACTATGCTCTAATCCACAATGTCATTTCATTGAAACCCTTCAAGGTGCACATAAGTTGGCTTAGTACCGAAAGCAACCAAGAAATTGGCCCTTTGCGTTGGGTTGGATCTGGGTTTGCCAAGACCTGTGGGGATCTGCGTGTTAGAACATGTTGTATAGTTTTGTAGGTTTTCCTTTACATCTCTTCTTTCTCTTTGGTCCCACATAGGAAGAATGCTAGACTCCTTTACTCCTCTAAGCCTATATAAAGGCTTCTCATGTACATTGTTTCCCATACCATTATAAGAGAATAAATACCATTCTCTTTTAATCTTTCTTTCTTATCATGGTATCAGAGCCAAGATCATTGTCTTGAAGAGTACGCTCTGCGGTTGCCATCAATTGGATCTTCCACATCAGAAATTAAGACAATGAGCTCATTATCTTTTAAAGTATGCTCTGCGGTTGCCATAAATTGGATCTTCCGCATCAGAAATTAAGATAATGAGTTTAGGGCTTTTGGGCCATCATCCTTGCTCGTTCTAATCCGCGCTTCTTCTTTCTCGATCCTTTCGATCACCTCAATCCATATTTCTAGCTTTGCTAGTGATTTCTTTTTCTGTCGTCATGGGTGATTCTAGTGACCATATTGACGTCAAACTCGATGGTTCAAACTATTCTCTTTGGAAACCATCGGCAATGGCAGCACTTGTTTATCGCGACTTGTTTGAGCATGTTGAGGGACTTTGTCCTTGTCCTGGTGCTCTTAAAAGTGAATCATCTGATGAAGTTGCGAAACGTGCCGCTGAAATTCGAGCATGGAATGTTGCTGATCGGAAGGCATGGGCTATCATTTTTGGTTCCATTGATCCTGCTCTTCGCCCACAATTTTCTAATGTTGTTGAGGCGAAAAGTTTATGGGATCAGCTTGCCGAGATGTTCACCCAGACATGGGACATTCGAGTTTATCAGTTGGAGCAAGAAGTTTACAGTGCTACGCAAGGGTCTCGCTCTATTCGAGATTTCTACAATTACATGCACTCACTTTGGAGTCAACTGGATATTCTTGCTCCTATTCTCTGCCCATCATGCTTGAACTATACTCGGTGTCCATCTACTCGACTTCAGACTCAAGATAGGTATCGTCTACATTCTTTTCTTATGAAGCTCGGCTCTCCCTATGAAGGTGTTCGCAGCCAACTTCTTCACCGCTCTCCAAGACCATCCCTCCTTGACGCTGTCAAAGAATTACAGTATGAGGAAACTCGTCTTGGTCTTCTTTCCTCCTCGGCAGTTTCTGATTCAACTGCTATTTTGGCTGCTCCACCACGTGTTCCGCCTACAGTTTTGGCTGCTCCACCATGTCCTTCGCCTACTCGTGGTCCTCGCCGCCTTTCATGTACGTATTGTCATCGTCCTGGTCATGACGAGTCACATTGTTGGAAGAAGAGGAATGCTTCACGCCTTTCTGCATCACCACGAGTCACTACCGCATCTCCAATCTCTCAACCTATTACTCTGGTTTCTCCCTCTACGGATGACCGTATTGCTGCTCTTGAGGCACAACTTGCCCGTTTGAGTCCTTTTCTACCCAGGTCTTTTCCCGATTCTGGTACTTCTACAACTCTCTCATCTGCTGGAAGCACCGCTGTAGCTACTCCACCTTCAGGTGATATTTCTACTACTTGGGTACTTGACTCAGGAGCTGCTAGACATATGTCTACTTCCGCTGTTTTTCTCACTAAGCTCTCTGAGCTCAAGCAACTAACACATTTCTTTACTGCTAATGGTTCTCCTCTACTAGCTACCCGACAAGGTACTCTTACCGTCTCTGAAGATTTCAATGTCCTTGATGTGTTACATGTTCCCTCTTTGGCTCTCAATTTATTATCTGTTGGACAACTCACCGATGCTGGATGTACTGTAAGCTTTACAAATAGCTCTTGCTTTGTGCAGGATCGTTTGAGTGGCAAGATGATTGGCAGGGGCAGTGAGACGGGATGGACTTTATATTATGCAACATCTCCATCTTCCAACTTCCTCTCTTCCTCATCCTGTGTTGGCTACCCTCGATCTTGTTCGGTGGCATCAGCGTCTTGGACATATTCCGTCTTCTCGTCTCACCATCCTTCACCAACAAGGTGCTTTGGGTCCTATTTCTTCTGGTAGTCTTCCTCCATGTTCTATCTGCCCTTTAGCCAAGCAATCTGCTAAGCCTTTTCCTGTTAGTAACTCTAGAACTAGTGCGATCTTCGATCTTGTTCATTCTGATGTTTGGGGTCCTGCCCCGCTCTCTTCCAAGAATAGTTTCAAATATTATGTATCTTTTATTGATGATTATTCTCGTATACATGGGTCTATCTTATGCGTCAACATAGTGATTTCTTTACTATCTATCAGTCTTTTACTTCCATGGTTTCCACACAATTTAATACAAAAATCAAAGTTTTCCGTTCAGATTCAGGGGGAGAATATCTCTCTGGTGTCTTTCGTTCCCTCTTAGCTAGTGATGGTACACTTCCTCGGTTATCTTGTCCTAGGGTTCCAAACTCAAAATGGAGTTCTTTGAACGCAAACACCGTCATATTCTAGAGACCACTCGAGCTCTCTTACTTGGCACATCCGTTCCCACCGAGTTCGGGCGAGGCTCTTCTCACGTGTTCATCTAATAATCGCCTACCCTCATCTGTTCTCCATCAAGACACCCCGTTTCAGCGCCTCTACTCTCGACCTCCTAGCTATAATCATCTTCGAGTTTTTGGATGTACTTGTTTTGTCATTCTTCCACTCACTGAACGTACAAAGCTTACCGCCCGCTCTATCCCATGTGCATTCTTGGGTTACAGCACTGAGCACAAAGGTTATCGTTGTTATGACCCAAATGCGCGACGTATACGTATTTCTCGTGATGTTACGTTTCATGAACACATCCCTTTCTTTTCAACAAATACTACACCTCATGTTTCGTCTCCTGTTCCATTTATGGATTTTCCTCTACCTGATCCTTCTAGTCCCTCTTCTACATCGGATCTAGATATATTGCCACCTTCTCCATCTTCACCTATCCCTTGTGCTGCACCTCGTGCTGTATCTGCCCTCGACCATTCTGCACAACTAGAGCCACGCCGTAATCCTCCTCGAGATCGGCGTCCACCTGCCCGGTATGTTGCTGCTACTTCTTATTCTACTGAGTTTCGATCCTTTTTAGCTGCTGTTCATGTTGTACAAGAACCTAATAGTTATCGCGAGGCAGTTCAGCATGTAGAATGGCGCCAGGCTATGTCTGAGGAACTCTCGGCTTTGGAGACTACTGGTACTTGGGAGCTTGTGCCTCTTCCTCCAGGTCGCTCCCTCGTATCTTGCCGATGGATATATAAGATTAAGACTCGTTCTGATGGCAGTATTGAGCGTTACAAAGCTCGTCTGGTTGCTCGAGGTTTCTCGCAAGAGTATGGTATCGACTATGAGGAGACCTTTGCTCCCGTAGCAAAGATGACATCTATCCGTGCTTTATTAGTTGTTGCTTCAATTCGCAGTTGGCCTCTCTTTCAGCTTGATGTGAAGAATGCTTTTCTTCACGGTGATCTTCAGGAAGATATCTTTATGCAACCTCCGCCTGGTCTTGCTCATACCTCTGGACAGGTTTGCCGCTTGCGACGGGCTCTTTATGGTCTCAAATAGGCCCCTCGTGCTTGGTTTGAGAAGTTCAGTGATGCTATTCAGTCTGTTGGTTTCATTCAAAGTGAGGCTGATCATGCTATGTTTGTTCATACCTCTTCTTCAGGCTGCACTATTCTTCTTCTTTATGTTGATGATATGGTCATCACCGGAGATGATCGTGACCATATTGAGCATACCAAGCGGCACCTTCAGCAACATTTTGCCATGAAGGATCTAGGACCACTGCGCTATTTTCTTGGGCTTGAGATTGCTCGCAGTTCACGTGGTATTCTCATTTCTCAGCAGAAATATACCGCTGATATTCTGTCCAGGGCTGCTCTATCAGATTCACGTACTGCTGCCACTCCTATTGAGCTAAATCAAAAGTTTTGCCCAGACGATGGAGAACCTCTTTCTGATGTCACCCGCTATCGGACCTTGGTTGGCAGTCTTATTTATCTTACTATCTCCCGACCCAACATCGCCTATGCTGTTCATGTTGTCAGTCAGTTTGTTGCTGCTCCTCGAACAACTCATTATGCGGCTGTTCTAAGGATTCTGCGCTATCTTCGAGGCACTTTATCGCGTTCCTTATTTCTACCATCCTCTCTTCTGCTCTCAAGTTGCGTGCCTATTTTGATGCTGATTGGGCTTCCAATGTCACTGATCGCAAATCTATCACTGGTTATTGCATTTTTCTTGGCGATTCACTTATTTCTTGGCGTTCCAAGAAACAACATATTGTCTCACGCTCCTCTACAGAGTCCGAGTATCGTGCTATGGCCGACACTACTGTTGAGATTGTTTGGCTTCGCCGCTTACTTGCTGATATGGGAGTTTCACTTCTGGATCCTACTCCTCTGCATTGTGACAACAAGAGTGCCATTCATATCGGTGCAAATCCAGTCTTTCATGAGCGTACCAAACATATTGAGATCGATTGTCATCTGACTCATCATCATCTCCAAGCTCGCACTATTTCACTTCCTTTTGTTGGAACCGAGAATCAACTTGCCGATTGTTTTACGAAGGCTCTTACATCACAACGATTTAAATTTCTTCTTTCCAAACTCTTGTTAGATGATCCACCTTGAGTTTGAGGGGGGGTGTTAGAACATGTTGTATAGTTTTATAGGTTTTCCTTTACATCTCTTCTTTCTCTTTGGTCCCACATAGGAAGAATGCTAGGCTCCTTTACTCCTCTAAGCCTATATAAAGGCTTCTCATGTACATTATAAGAGAATAAATACCATTCTCTTTTAATCTTTCTTTCTTATCACTGCAGATTGGGAAATCTGTCATCTATGGCTCCCTTAATTCTTTCTCTCACACGATGAGGTGGACGAAAGGCGCAAGGGGCTTAATTCAGATTTATCCCTTGAAGGGAGATGTTTGGGCTCTGTATAGAAAATGGTCTCCTGATTGGAATGAGTCCACTCCAATCGAGGTAGTACACAGCTACGATATGGTTGAAGTGATTGAAAACTGCAGCGAGGACCGTGGTGTAACCGTTGCTCCACTCATCAAAGTCTGTGGATTCAAGACTGTGTTTCAAAAGCATCCAGATCCATGTAAATTATGGACGATTCCAAGAGAAGAAATGTTCCGGTTCTCTCATCAGGTCCCAGCTCACTTGCTTACAGGTGAAGAAGGTCCAAATGCTCCCAAAGGATGCTGGGAGCTTGATCCTGCATCCACACCTTCGGAGCTTCTTCAAGTGGTAACACAAGGACAGAGAGGAGAAATGGAGGGACATGCTGATGCCATCAACGAGCACTTGTCTGCTGATTCTTGAAAGTCCAAGGAAAAAGAACTGACAGAAAATGGGGAAACTGCGGATATGGCTGGTAATAATGGGTAAATAACAATTCTAAATTTTGATCAAGGTCAAAGATCTTCATAAGACTAATCTCAGCATTATAGGTAATTTTGGGGACAACTGATTTTCTTTACTAGAATTAGGTCAGTTGTTGCTTTTCTAGTGAAGATGTCTGATTCTCTTCATTAAAACTGTTTTAGTGATATGGATTACAAAGTTGGCCAAATCTGTATGATCTGCCTGAAACTTATCATTTTATTTTTTTAATCAGATGTATGAGATATTCATTATGAGCATGAATGTTCATTCTTTTCTTAGCCCTCTTCAGATTGTACCGTTGCCTTTTGCTTTTAATGTTTGCATTGGCATGTATGGGATGGCCGATGAAAGTTCAGTATCTCTGCTGAGACTCTACTCATAATTTCATGAAGTTTTGGAGTTCTTGGCGATAGAAATTGATACGTCTGTATTACCTGTTTTATCTTGAGTAGCCTCTACATGACTAGCGGTACGAATAAGTGCAGTGTAGGTCAACATATAAATACATCTTTGCATGTGTACCTTCAGTAAGTGAATTGGCTAAGACCTGCCTCTGATTGGAGTAAGGTGAAAATTAAACCCAACTAGTGATTTGTTGTTTGGCGTTGCTAAGAAATGCAAATAAATATTTGTAAACAATAAGAAAAGTTGGCTGATTACAAAAAATGTCGATACAAAATTCAAACGAGAGTTGTTAACTCGGTAGTTATGTGGTAATTTAATAGGCAAAGAGCTGGTGATGAGTCACAACAATTTAGATTGATAATCTCCAAAAAGAGCTAGTGAATGAAAAGGATTACTAATCAAGCCTAAGTAAAATTTATAAGTAAATATAAAAATTGATAAATTAAGAAAAACAATTAAACTTTGATAAGTAGCCTAAATGAAAATTTGTTACCCAAAATAAGTTGGTAATTTATCTGAAAAAAGTTGATAATTTACTCTAATTAGGTTGGTAATTTCATAAAAAAAATGCGGTAAGTTGGGAAGTTATGCAAATAAAAGTTGGTAAATTAATACATACAGAAGATGCCAATTTCCAAACTATAAAAAACATTGGTTATTTCACAAATGGGTTGGTAATATATCAATATATTATTATGAAAAAAACCGGTCAGTTTATTTACCGACAGCTTTTTGGTACTTACTAACACCTTATTAGAATTTATCTGCGCGTAAACAAAAATTTGCACGGTACAATAATTGTTGCCTAATGACCGGGCAATTGGTCATCTGCAACTGAGCGTTATCTCATAGTTTTGCATTTTTCTGATCTTAAAACACATGCAAAATCATGTGTGTGGACATGTGCATTTCCTAAAGACTCTGAATATCACCATCTTGTATACCTGGCTGCAAAGGTTCTAAGCCGCTGCCTACGATGAAACTCTTATCCTACCTCTACGCGTGTGAGATTATAAACCACATTGAATTTGCGAAATCACTCTACGGTTTGGCTTAAAAGAGCAGGTAAATCAAAGAGCGGATCATGGGGGAAGAGTGCCGCTAAATTTATACCGTCCGATATTTCATATGTTACTACAGTTGAAGGTTCTCATAAAGATGAGAAAAGTAATAACACTCATTGAATGAACTTCCCATTTCACCAAAATCCCGATATTGACTATCTTAAATACAGTATTCTCAATCTAAAAGCCGAATCAATAGGATTTGCTCCAGTAGCCACCCTTCCTACTTGGGAAGGGAAATGTGAGGAGTTCGATTCCCTACCTTCAAAAGGACTAAAGATAGGGACGTTTAATTTCAAAATGTGGGTTTCGACACAAAAAAAAAAAAAATCCTAGGGCCGAAGAAACTTATCCAGTTTACTCTTCTTTTTTTTTGTCTCTTGAAACAAGTTATAGGATAAAATAAGAAAATTGCACTATCTGTAATATTTATTATGCCATACATGCAAATAGTATCTCATCTCATTTATATTTGGTCGACCAAAAAATGGTTGAACCCTTGTAGAAAAAAATAACTACTCATTTGATGAATAGTGCGATGAACAGTAAACTTGCATTCCAAAAATGCAACTTGCCAAAGTACCTCCAGACCTGCCTTGAACCTTTGGAACTGCAATTCCATTTCTCTAAAGTGCTCCAAAAAAATCGCCAAACACTATTTGCATTTGGCCAAGCTGGAAATGCTAAACCAAATAGGCCCATAGTCTTTGTAATATGAGCATTTAATTTTCGTTTCTGTTTTTATTTTATGATCGCATTTTTTTAATGCGAAAAATACTCTGCCTTGTAATTTCTCTACTAAATTTCTGGCTTATTATGGCAATTTTTGTCATGAGTAGTTTAATGCTTTATGAATTCCAGTGCATGCTTATGCATTTTCAAATATCATTCCATCACAGTTTGTTTGTGATTCTATCTTCTTATGTTGTCATGGTCTTTCTTAGGGGATATAGTTTTGCCATATCTGAATTCCCACCCGTCAAAAAGAGTTCCTTGATGCCCTTGTAGGCAATCATAGTTCACGAGGTGACTAATGCTAATGTGATCCACTGTGTTCGATTTGCTTTCACGGAGAGAAATCTGTCAATTTGATCATTGTTGCATGCTTTCTGTTGCGTGCTTTTAGGACGAGAGGTAATGTTGATAAAATTGTAAACCTTTTTTAAAGGTTGACTGTGCTTTAGCCCAACTGTTACAAATATTTTTGCAAGTTCATCGCTTTTTTATGTGGACGTGGGTAGATGAAATGGACTGCAAACCGTTTGATTGTGTGGACGTATGCAGATGGAACTATAATTCGTTAATAACAGTTGCCCTGCTTTATCTTGATTGTCATTCTTACATGTGGATTTACACCATTTGATCATATCATGTTTTGTCATTTGGACATCCTTTGGTTGCATTTTGTTTGGCAATTTAGGGTGCGTTTGGTAACTATTTTGTTTCCAGAAATAATTTTTGATTAGAAATGATTTTTTTTTGTTCTGTTCCAAAAAAACAATTTCTGATCATTTGAAGGCTCTTGGTAATGGCCCAAAATTTCTATTCCTGGAATAGAAAAAGAACAGAAATGCGTTTGGTAACTGCACAAAATTTCTTTTATTAATAATATTTTGAATTTTTTAATATTTCTTTCTTTTTTTCTTTTCTTTTTTTCTTCTTCTCCTTCCCTGGTCCATGGTCGGATGGCCGGTGATTAGCCACAGGCCAGGGCGGGCGAAGGCGAGGGCTGCCCTCACCCAGGCTGCGAGCCTCGAGGGCCACCCTTGCCGGCTCGGGCGAGGGCTAGAAAAGGTCGGCAAGGGTTGCCCAGGTTGCAAGGGTCCAACCCTCGCCCTCGCTGGTCGCTGGCCACTGACCACTGGCCACAGGCCAGGAAAGAAGAAGAACCGGCCACAACCAGGAAGGAAAGAAGAAAAAGAAAAAAAAATTATCTTTTATTTTTTATTCTTGTTCCTAGGATCAAGAATCAATTTTTTTTTAATTCTTGATTCTATTCCAAAACTGATTCTGGAAACAAATTTGTGCTCGGGAACAAAAAATTTACCAAACGGATTTCTATTCTTCTTTTGTTCTCGGGAACAAAAGAATAGAATCATGCACTATTTAGCCGGTTACCAAACAGGCCCTTACATGTTCCTTTGTGTATATATAAATTCCTTAAAGGAGCAAATCTGGCATGTTAGAATACTTACAAATGTTTGCCATAATTCTTATGATATCGGACCAATATAGTTTGGTGTAAATTTGAGGTTTTGCTTAAGCATATTTTTCTACTGGTTTTCTGTTGTTTTAAGGCGGATTTAGGCTCTTGACAGTCAATGTAATGTAGTGGATTGTGTGCCTAGATTTTTTGCCAATTGTATTGTTTTGACATTAGTTATTCGACTATCAGAGGAGGAATTCCATAAGCCGGATTATGCTTATTATGAAAGTTCGTTGCTTGTTCATATGGATTGTGCTGATAGAATCATAATTCTTAAAAAATAGCGCATTCCTAACCGCTGTGCTAATTGTGGAAGTTCATTACTTGTACACATGGATGAATATCATTTGATCGTTTATGTGGATGTATGCGGATGGATTCATAATTCGTTAAAAATGGTGGATCGTGCTTTGTCCTTACGGTTATTCTTGTTGAAATTCGTCGCTTGTATATGTGGAATTACATCGTTTTCTTGTCTATGTAAGCGTATGTAGATGGTGTTAGAACATGTTG